CCTATGTACATATTTTTAATGTTAGGTATTCATTTGTATCATATGTAAGGTCCAAACATACGTTTAAATCTATTTGCTATAAATTATCGTTGTTATATAAAATGTGTGAATATTGGATTTAACTAATTGATATCATAACTTTCCAGCTTTTCATCATATTATTGAAGTATTAGGTAAAGGTCTTGTTGCATTATTATATGATATTAGTATTGTGTTTATGCTACTTTTAATAAAATAATTATTTGTTATTATAATACTAGCTTTTCACCATTTCATGCGTTAGGTAAGTTGCATTATTATATGATTTTTTTTAATTTAATTTCCATTTGCGTAAGTTGAGATACCAATTCTCTAACTTTGTCAAAAGTTAGGCCACAAAGCCTAATCTGAAGATAAGAGAAGAGCTAGTTGTAATTAAATGAATATTTATTTTTATAATAATAAAAGTTTAACGGTTGAACCTTAATTAAAAAAAATTGTTATTTACATTTATAATACTTATATTATTCAACATTTTTATTTAGACTTTGGTTTATTTTGTAATTAATGTTTAGCCATATTAGTTTTGTTAATATCATCTTAGTCCCTTGAATTTCTATTTTTACTGTTTAGTCTTTTAACTTTCTATTATTGCTATGTTTTGTTCATCGATAATTATAATTTTATATATGTTGTATAAACTATGTAATTGTGAAATTTTATTTCCACTTTGTTTGTAAATCATTATGGTAATTAATATACAAAAATAAAAAGAAATTTCAATGTGAGGAAAATGTATGAAGATATATCCCAACTACAAGAGAATTTATCTTTTTGAGGATTTTTTACACAATTGTCATGTTCAATAATTCTTTCTTTGATTTATGTTATTTATTTTGAATAGTGTTCACCTTTATTTGTTTTACTTTTATCAAATAAGTATGTTTATATATATTTATTATCTTTATAATTTGGTCTATGTCGTTTATATATATTATATCATATTATTCATATATGTGTGTATATATATATATATATATATAAATTAATTTACCCTTGTATATTTATATATATTAATAACGTCTATTTTATTTTGTTTGACTTTATTTATTTATTTCATTTTATAAGATGCTTAATTTATATTCGAATTGCGTTTTTAATCAATGAGGAAAGAATATTCTTTATGGATAAGAAATAGTCGAAATAGTTTTTCCAATAGAGAATTGCTAATCTCGAAATTTCTTTTCAAGTTAAAGAATTTTTCCTAATATTTAGTTCGAATCAATTAATTAAATTTCAATAAATAAATCATAATTTAATCTTATATTCAATTCAGAATTTCCACTATTACGACAACGTGTAAGCGACACAGTACCAATTTTGGGCGTTGTAGGGGTGCTAATCCTTCACCACGCGTAATCGATTCCTGAACCCGTTTTAAGTGAATCTTTGGTAAACGCATACTAGCTTTTGTCTTAAAAAATAATTTTTTTTAAAATTGTTTTTAAAAGACGTTTTTAGGTATTCGACCTACCTAAATCAAAGGTTGATGGTGACTCTTTTCGATTTAATTCAAATTAATCCGAATCATCAAATTTTCCAAAATTAAAGTCGTAAATAGTTTTTAAAACAATTAAACGATTGTCCCCGCCGAAAAACGGTTACGACACTAGGGCTTTCGAGTTTCCTCTATAACCAATTGCCTTAGTGGAATAGCTCATCTTTACGAATTTAATTTCTTAAGATTGTCAAGAAGAACCTGTTATAGTCTAGGTGTTTTTGAAAGTCAAGGGATCTCATCTTTAGAGTTAAATTTCCAAACAACTGACCTAAACTAGATTGGCTTACTCGACTATTCCATCTGTGAAGATCATTATCATCACTGAACATTATAAATAAAGGTATAAACCAATCAATTTTACAATCTCATGTGCTAGTTGCCCCATTCTGTTCACTCTTAATACGTGTCTAGATGCCAAACCTTGGATGGACTCATCATGAGAAGAGAAAACTTAGCTCGGTAAGAGAAAAACATGTAGTCTGATGTATCTTTTAAATTAGGACCAAGGGGTCTTTGTTTTACAGGGTTCAATCTTGTCATTTGTCAAAGATTTATAACCTCAATTATTAAACATTTTTTAATTAAGGTGATATTCAAGGAATTCAAGATTAAAATTTGCTCATTTCCTAAGAATGAAGCATTTTATTTAAAATGTTTAAACATCAAGTGACTTAAAAATGTTCACACATAAAAAGTACGAAAGAAAAACAAGTTCAAACAAGATGATATGCTTGATAATACAACAAAATTCCTGACGGATGCCCCATCTGACTCTCGATCAGAATGCCCCATTACATATTGAAAGTGAATGCCCCTGAGTCGATCAGATCTTGGACCTTACGTTTCAATGCCCCATAATTTTCAATGGTGTGCCCTGAGCTCCCAATATGATAGTTGCATACGGTGTTAATATCATAGCCTTCAGGATATGGGGCCTCTCTAGGTTTGGATTGAACTGGAGTCACAAGATTCTTCTCAACTAGCGTTGGGAGTAGCTCCTCATATGTCATTGGGATTGGAATGATGCAAATCTTTTCTTTCCTTGGTTCTCTCTGAGTTTGTTTAGAAGTACCAGACGGTACAGCTGAAATAGTTTTTGGACTTGAGATCGTAACACCTTTGTTGGCGTTTTAGGTGCTGACATTGTTGATCTCTCCCTCAATTTTCCTTGTTTTATAGCTAGCTTGATCATCTCACAAGCCATGACTAGATCTGAAAGTTCCCGATGTAATTGCCACTAGGTGCCCGAAGTAAGGTGTATTCAGGGTTTGTAAAAACAACTTTTTAGTTTCCTTTTCATCCAAGGGTGGATGAACTTGCACAGAAAAATCCCTCCAACGTTGTGCATATTGTCGGAAACTCTCGTTGTGCTTCTTCTCCAGTCCTTGTATCATAACCCGGTCTGGTCTCATTTCGTTAATATGCTTATATTGTTCTAGAAATGACTTGGCTAAGTCTTTCCAAGTCTTGGTATGGGTTCGGTTGAGCTGGTTGTACCACCGGATGGTTGAGCCCGACAGACTCTCTTGGAAGCAGTAAATTAAGAGTTGGTCGTTTCTTCCATATCTTATCATCTTTCGACAAAACATGGTGATGTGTGCGGATGGGTCGCTGTTCCCGTTAAACTTCTCGAATTCTGGGGGCTTGAATTTTGGAGGAAGAACCAAGTCCGGGACTAGACTAAGCTCCGCGGCATCGACTCCAGGGTAGTCATGATCTCCTTTAACTACCTTCATCTTGTCCTCCAATTGCTTGATTTTCTCTTCCATCTTCTTTGATTTGTCCTCTTCGTCCGAATCCAGTATATGATAATAACCCAAATTGTTCTCAAGGTTAAATACAGAGGATGAGGGCTTCGCTTTTGCAGCCGATGAGTCTTTTCGAAGTTCCGGTTTGATTTCAGGTGAAACAACCACTTGTGGGGTAGGTGGTATAGTTACCCCTTCCGGTGAACCTGCCCCATGCGCACTGGTATGTTGTAGGCCAACTAACTTGGAAATGATATGATCAACCAAAGATTCTTGGTTCTTCATGATTGTATTCAGAGTACTCAGACTACTCTGGTTTATCTTATCTTCAAGTTCTTTTTGCAATTTTGCCATATTCTCCTCGATTTTCTTGATTCTTGCTTTCATCTTCTTTTTTTAGGCGGGTGTTATATGGATGAGGTGCGTCCAATGCTTGAGGTGGTGTATCCAGTATGTGTTCCTTTTTGATGAGACATGCTTCTGTTAGATAATGCGAATGCAAAGAAAATAATAAAATGCAAAATATGTCTAAATGCATGATCACTACAACAAATTTATCAATTTATGACAAAATTTCTATATGACATTTTGTATAATGTCACAAAATATACTTTAAAGGTGACGATTTTTAATTTTCGTCGCATTTAATGATTAATGATATATCTTTTATGACAATTTTAAAAAAAGTCATTGATTTCCGTCACTATATGTTTGGAGCCAAAATTTGCCTCCAAAAAAATTTGGTGGGAAATATTTCAATGACGTTTAGGTAAAATGGTGACGTTGTAAAATCGTCTCCAAAGGAATAAAAGTATTAGTGACTATTTATTATTATGACGATTTGATATGAAATAGTGGTGTTACAAATTTTTCACCAATAAACTTTATATGTGACAATTTATTTGTCATCTTTTATAAGATATAAAAGGTGACATTTTATTTTTTCATAAAATAAGTTTAACATGACAAAAATAATTATTTGTCATTCATTGTATATCTCTTGTTTTTTATATGACGTTTAAAAAATATATAAAATATTAAAACTTTATTAAAAATTACTCTTGTGAGGTGAATTGTTGTGTTATGATGTCATAGATTCTTCTCGAAAGAACTGTTATATAGTGGCGTAGATCTCCATGAAGAAGAAGCGTTGTACATATATCTCCCGTTCGAAAACCTATGCTACATAATTTTTTATATTTTTAAATATTTGAATAATTTTAAAAATAAGAATGTAATATTTCATCATTTTTATCATGTTTTATAATTTATAACAATAATTAAAATTTCTTTCTATTTTTAAAATATTTTTAAAATTTTTAAATATTATAATAATATTTAATTTTTTATTTTTTAAATAAATTTCAAATTTTGAAAAAAATAGCTTAATTGGGCTTAAAATAATAATAATTCAATCAAAATTGGGGTTAGATGAACAGTCATAATAATTTAGGACTTAATTGAATTTTATAATAAAATATTAAGGTTGTGATAAATATGAAATTCCAAGACTAAAATATAAAAAATAAAAAGTTGAAATTCTAAAAAGTTAAACCTAAATTGTTTAATGACATACGTTGCAGTTTACTCATATTTATTTAGGATTAATGTTCTCTGTAATTGTTCAATTTCTCCGAAATTGCTAAAGGTAAAATCATATTTTATTATTGGAAATTAAATTAAATAAATATATCTAACCCTAACCCACCCTTTATGTAGAAAAGGAATAAACCAAATTCTAAACTTCATCATCCTTTCGGTCTTCGCCGTTTGCGCCATCACCGGTGAACCATGCCTCCGTTCACGAGTCAAGCACTCCTTGTACAATCGTGAACACCATAACATTGTGATCAGTGCCTATCCTCGTGTCATTCAATCATCTTATTTGAAGTCCCCGCCGGTGAGCTCTGATATTCCGTCCGTATGGTTTCTTATTGTAAGTTTTTGTCTTGTATTCTGGTATTACTTAATTGATATGATATTTTTTTCTTATGGAAAAACTGTTTACAATGGTTCATCAATGGACAAATCGTTGTGGAATCTGAATAACTACGCCTTCACTTATCCAAATGAGAAACTTGGGAATCAAGATGGTCAAAAAGACATTGCGGGGATAGCAACAATGTTGTGTACAATTGTGTCTAGAATTGTTGCAATGCTTTATTTTTTCTTTTACACTTATGATACTGATTTTATCATTTGGTGTTTCTATTTGAACAAGTGATGTATCATCATAAAAAACATTAGCATTAGGGAAAATCTAAGTGATCATGTCTGAACAAGCTTCTTGTCTGATGTTGATTTCTTTGAATGGGTAATACTTAATAGGTATTGTTTAATACTGTTTAATATTGTATTGTTTAAGTGATCATAACATGGAATTGAATCATCACGTTATTGGGGGACATGTGTCTTTTAAGGACATATGTTCATATATATATATAATCATACAATTAACTGGTTTTTTATTTTTTTTCTAGAAAAGGTTTACTAATTGTTGCACAGTATCTTACAGTTGTTAATGTTGCTCTAGGATGGGGTCGTAATTGATATCCATGAAACCAAAGATTTCTTGGTAAAAGCATCGGATGTCCTACGGTAGATCCTCATTGTTGGAGTTGGAGGAGAAGAATTCAAAGAAATGGAGGTATTTACTATTGAAAGCCTTTTATATCCATTTAAGGGAGAATGGCTACTTCATAAATTATCTTTTTGTTGGCGGGTACTTGAGTCAATTGATTTATCAAGTTAATCTTTTTTACAGATTTTAGATGCTGACAAGGGGGAAAGACTTGAAAGTTTAACCGGAGAAGTTACTTCACTCCATATTGTTCAATTGTTCCATTTAGATATATACAAGGTAAGCCATCTACTCGTTTCAATTGAACCATGTTAACATGGATTAAAATGCTTTGTAGTTGGGATATAACAATCGTTTTTCATTGCATGTGATGAAAACGTGATTATTCCATTCAATGTAGTAAAAGGCATCACATAATTTACAATTAAAAAAATAACTTTAGTTTTATATTGATATAAGTGGGGGTTTATTATAACATGACATTATTGGGGTTTAGGGCTTCTCTGCTCTATCAAAAATTTGCTTCTCACTTTGTTTTGGGTTTTTTGCTGTAGTCATCTTGATAAACTTTATTAAGGATATGGTGGTATGAAATGTGGATACATCATTCCCATGGAAATGGCAATACCCTTTCTACATTGGCCCATACTTTGCTATTGATATGTGCACAGGAAGTTTGATCTTATTCGTCTGGGAAAAGTTAAACAAGGAAAACACAGATGCATTTGACCTAGAAGTCTCCTCATATCTTATCTACTGGGACGGTATATGCTAGTTTTCGAGTTCAATACTTGCTCTTGCCGAGTATTTCTTCAAGTAAACTTGTTATTGGTGGTACGAATGAAGTAAATTCTTCTTCCATGGTTCCAATATTTGCAAATCCGTTCTGGAAGGAAATTGTGGTATTGTCAAACCGATCCATCTTGAATTCGAGATAATGTTGGAATTGTTTGATATTCGTTTGGAAGCAGTTCTAGTGATAGAGTTTGTTCGAGAAATTCCTCTCAAGTCATTATTGTAATTTATTAGAAGTTTTTTCTTTGATTGTAATTTATAAAAACAATTGTAATTAGTTGTAATTTTTAATTTTTTTGGCATTTGTAATTTATAAAAAGTTTTGGTATTTTTTGTAATTTATAAAAAGTTTGGCATTTGTTTGTAATTTATAAAAGTTTTGGTCTTTATTGTAATATATCAAAATATTATTTTTATTTTTATTTATATAAAATTTTAGACTTCTATTGTAATTTAAGTTTTTATTTTTTAATTTTTTTAAAATTTAAACAAAGAATTACGACGATCTTTTCTTCGCCGTTTATACAGTAAAAATTTAATATTATTAGTGACAATATGAATGATTACTGACAAAATTTTATTTCATTTAGTGACGTAATTAGTTGTCACGGAATACAAATTATAATGTGATGTTATACAAAAACGTCATTATATGTTTAACAATAAGTGACGATAAAAAGATACATCGTTACGCTAGACATTTAGTGACACACCTAGGGTGACGAACGCCATGACGTCGAATTTTATGTCACAAAATACAAATAGTGGCGTAAATGTAAATTTCAATGACAATATTTTCAACGTCAAAAATTAACAAATTTTTTGTAGTGGATGCATGAAATGCTCGAAGCATTGATCCAAAAAAAGTGCTTGTTATTATGAATAACCCTTATTGGGACAAATGTGTTTTATCTTTTAAGAGACAAAAATATCCTGACAGCTTCTGGCATGTTGACTAGTCTTCTGTCTTCGTCTTTCACCGGTTGAATAACCTGTCGAACCACTCCGGCTTCTCTGGATGAACCGTGAAAATGTTGAATTGTTTTTTGGTACTGGCCCAAGAATTCTCGAATGACTGCATCTCCGGCATCTATCCTTAGAGTATGTTCCCAACGAATACATCATTGGAGCCCTTAATTGGGAGGAACTATGTGAAGTTCATTAGTCTATTTCTTGAGTTCATCAGCAATGGTTTCCAATTTCAGCTATCGTTTTGCCATTGTTGTCTTCGAAGGGACTCCCAAGATCAGTAACCTTCGTCTTGCCCCTACAACTTCAGCTAGTCAGTTCTTCAAAGATAAACTTTCATTGTGCTTGATGTAGACCCGATCCATTGTGAGTCCTTTATAATGCAGTAGAGTGATATACTCTTCTTTGTGGGCACCACGTCTTCTGGATTGAATATAACACATAGTTGTCCAGCAGACTGTCCTCTGTATTTTTATCTCTTGTATTACAACCCCTTTGTCCATTAATTCAGATTATTTGAGTTTTAACAAACACGTTTTTTGTGGATCAACACCTCTTTTGAATGATGAAAATGATAAGAAATGAAAAAGAACAAAAATGAAAGGAAAAAGTTAGTGAGATAAGGATAATAAAAATGATGAAAATGAAAAGTCCTACCCCACATGATATCTACCCCACATGCTTATATTCCTACTCGGACATGATCTCTATCCCGGATGCTAATTTCAAACAAATCATAATTGCATATTTGTCTAGTTCGTATGCTTTGAACAGAAAATAAAGCAGGAAATAAAAATAGCCTAGGGTTTGAAATGAGGCTTTGGGGTGGACTCTAATTCTCTGTACTCTCCCGATTTAGGTTCTAAAAAAAGGTACTCGAGTTCTCCTTGTTGGTACCTCTTGGGCTTGCCAGACCCTTAGTCCTAAGCCCATCACAGGCTTGTGTGGACTAAGTTAAACTCGAGAGGATATATTCCCTTAAGTCTATGCGGAGAATAAATTCACACGAAGTCATAAGGTATATGAATCCGAAGGCTACTTGCTAGGCATATGCGGTGAATAAATTCACATGAAGGCGTCGCTTTCACCCCCACTTAAAAGGGTTCGGAGCTCGGGTATAGAGCTTGAGATAGAAAATTTTCAAAAAATCTGAAATCATTGGAAAAAAATGTCAGTACAACTATTTATTTGAAAAAAAAATCAAAGATAAATAATAAGAATCGAGTAAATAAGTTAAAATTTAAACTTGTAATTTTCGCTAAGAAAGACAACCGAAAATTAATTCTGGCTTGACTCACTTACCTGTCCCCAGTGGAGTCGCCAATCTGTCGTAACCGTCTTTTGGTAGGGCCCCAAAATTGGGCTTCGACTTGAAATAATTGGGTTGGGAGTCGCCACCGACCACTTTAAAACGAATTTAGGTGGGTCGGACACCATCTTACCTCATCTGCGTTTTTAGCAGAAATGTATCAGGTTTAGGAGTCGGTTACGGTCAAGGAAGGATTAGCACCCTTGAACCGCCCTTTCGGTGCCAATTAATTTACCGGTTGTCTTAGTTGCAAAAATTTGAAATTTAAATTAAAATTTAACAGCCCCGATTAAAATTACTTACAATTGATTGATTTGAAAGCGTACTCTTAGAGAAGTCAACAAACGTGTTAGAAAAAAGGTAATAAAAACTAACAAAATAGAAAACTGATAAAATGGAGAAGATAAAATAAATCGAATAAAAGAAAGACAAAGAGAAGAATAATAATAAATTAACGATAACAAGTAAATTAAATAAAAAATAAAGAAACGAAAAGAAAAATAAATAAATAAAATAAAAGACATAAAAAATAAATAAAAAGCAAATGAAATAAATAAAATACTAGAAAATAATGGTGAAAATAATATATACATAGTAAATAAATAAATAAATGCAAGAGGGGAAAAATATAAAATAAAATTAAATAAATAAAATAGATATAAGATAAACGAAATGATAATATGTATATATGTATATATATAAAATAAATAAAAATATAAAAAAATAGTAAATATATATATAAATTAATAAAACAGATAATGAAAATTAACATATATATATGTGTAATCTAAAAAAATATTTATACTAAAGTAAAAAAGAAAATGCATAAAATGTAAAAAAAATATTACATAAAAAAGGAAAAGAAAAATAACAAAACAATTAAATAAAATGAGTAAGAAGGAAAATGTGTGTATAAATAAAGTTAAATAAAAATAATAATAATTCAAACGTAAATGTAAGGAACCAAATCAAAAGTAAAAAAATGATATCTTTTATTTCCTTTTCGGATCGTTTACAATAGCTTTGCCTTTGTATTTTCTGTGTTTTCCTCTGTATTTTGTATGTAAATCGTGTCTTACAAATAGGGAGGATTACATGTATTTATAGTGAAAAAACTAACTATTTTTATAATCCTATTAACAATAGAATCCTAATGCAACTAGACTCCTTGCTCGGTTGTTGCATGTTTGTTGGTGTGGTTGTTGTTTTAAAAGATATGGTGATGGAAGAGTCCTCCTAGGAGAGGAACTCTTGCTAGTTTTATATTTGGAAAATAATAATAATAATAAGAAAATGGGTGTCTACATTCATATCTCCAAGTTTTTAAAGTCATGCCTGCTTAAAATTGATACTTAGATAACCAAGCACTCCACACTAGAAAAATAACAAAAAAATCAGAAATAAATCATATAAGCTCAATTTCCAGAAAAATACTTCTAGAAGTAAAACAAATATTGATACTAACAAACCATAAGGGAAATCATAAACAAAATAAAGAAAATCAAATATAAAAAGACCCACACATTTAAATTACTCATTTAAGAAATATATTAGATATCACAAAACTAGTACATTTACATATTTCCTTCCCACAAGCACATGTGCAGAAGCCGTCCATTAACATTAGCTTATCATTTTGATTGTTCAAAATGCAGATTATACTTGACGCAAACTATAGTAAACTGAAGGATTGCTATTGATGAATATTTATTAACATTTTTTTAAACCCAGAATGATAATGCATGTGAGATAAGTCCTACCTTCTGCTTCTCTGCTTCTTTCAAAGTTCAGGGCATAGTTACATCAAGCATATTCATAACTACTTGTGCAGTTTGTAAAACTTGCCCTATTTCACCATCTTCAAGTTCAGCTTCCTCTTTGACCAACTCTCCTTCAAGAGGTTTGGTCTGTGTCGACAAATCTTTGAGTGAATCTTGTCCGGACTGTAGGTGGATGCTAGCAGCTGTACCACCATCTTCTAACACGTCTCTTGTAGGACTAACGGAATAGTCATTTATAGAATTTGATCTAGAAAGATCCAAAAGCTTCTTCGTGTTTCTTCCTTTACCAGCCAACCTATCTTCTGTGAAAGCTAAGCCTGTAGCAGGAGAACTTGGCACTAATAAAGGGTCACTCCACATCTTTTTCATTAACACAGTGTGGGAGAGGTGGGATTTAAGGAGGAGGAGAAATAACCTGGGGAAGAAGAGAGGGTGGGTTAACAGCAGTGAAATGCCACATCAGCAAAATTAACGGGAGGTAACGGCAGAGACAGAAATGAAAACAAACTAAAAGTTTGATGACTGTATTGCAAGTTTCAAAAGTTTAGTGACCAAAATGTAATCACCGTAAAAGTTCAAGAACAAATTAAAATTTGATGACTGTATTGTAAGTTTCAAAAGTTAAGTGATCAAAATGCAAGCATCCTAAAAATTCAAGGATACTTTATATATTTTATCCTAATTTTTATTTGGCACAATGACGTTGAGTGATTAGTGATTAGTGACACGTGTTATGTCGTCCAAAATATAAGCATCCTAAAAGTTGAGGGACTACTTCATTTACACTCAGGATTGCACTTAAAGATGGACGATCACCTGGAGGTGTGTTAGCTCCAAAATAAAGACTTGACTTTGAGAAATTAACAGTTGCCCCGATGCTACACAGTAAGCATGAATAATATCTTGCACCTTTGAAAACTCTCGAGTAATACTATAGAGAAAAAAGAGACTGTCATCCGCATATAATAAATGGGTAATTCGTGGTGTCGAACGACAAACTCGTAGCCCCCGTAGTTGGTTGGCTTGTTGCGTACTATGTAGGAACGAAGATAAACCTTGCGAGCAAAAAAACAAACAAAAAGGGTGACAACGGATCACGTCGGCGTAAACCACGTTCTAGTTGGAA